AGCGAGAAAACTGCAAAATAATGAAATCCACAAATCACAGTTCATATTTTGGACATCCAACTACTAATATTTTTAAAATTTTAAATTCTAACTGTCAGTATATTTTTTAGTCATTAAGATAACATATACGTTAAAAGTAGTTATTTTTGTTTAGAATCGATAAAAAATAGCATTTTAATTTTATTTGGGCCACATTTAAAAAAGTAAATTTTAATCAAATTGTATGAAACTAATTACGAGTATTAAAATTAAAAACCTAAAAGTGGCGGTGGAGATGAGGACAGAGCATTTGCCTTCCACGCGAATAGCCTGGGTTCGAATCTGGGCTAGGGGCTAATTTTCTTTATATTTTTTTATTTTATAAATTATTAAAATTCATAAATTATTTTAAAATTGCTTATTTTGTCTAAACCTAAAATAATTTTTTAAATTTGTAGATTTTCGTTAGTGGTTCGTAGAAAAAATATACTGTACAACTTGAGTGAATTGTCCATATCTACTTTTGTTGCGAAAATTAGGGAAATTTTTGTGATGAAAATTATTCAGTTTTTTTCACTTATATATGTTATTTTATTCATTTTCATAGATTCGCCAGAATTTTTTTACTTAACTTCAGTATACCTCTAGAACTATTATATATTATATGACTAGGGCTAGGGCTTTAGCCCCCCCAGATCTGATGACATAACTTCGCCCATGTCCCAGAGATATCCACAGAATATATTTTGTGGATATTCAATATATCCAATATGGATATCCAACCAAATGTCCGTCTATATCCCAGGATATAGAAGATATTCGGATATTCAGCAAAATATTTTATGGGTAACCTCTACTAAAGGTTCATAAGTAACAAATGATTATTGAATAACGTCGAAAGAAAATAGCAGAGATAAAAAATATTTTCAAAACTCAAAATATGTTCAACACTCTGCCTTTGATTTTGCCAACTAAGGAGAAAGTAATCCTTATTAGGACTCTTCAGCAATAAATGGAAATTCTCGACTCCAGTCTCTAATGGAGTCTGATTAGGACACAAATTTCGATCGAACTCAATTACGGCGGGTCGAGCATGAGTAGATGCGAAAGTGGTATCGCCATCTTTACTTAGTAAGCAAAATCAAATAACATCTAGTTGATATCCACGATGGTTTGATATATTTAGTGGATGTCCATGGGATATTGAATACACCTTAAAAAAAATTAATTTTAAATATCTGAACGGTACTATTAGCTACAATGGCGTAATTTTTTAATAATTTTCTATATAATTACTATTATTTATGGACATTTGCATGACTATAAATAACATCTCATGGATATAAAATAGATATCCACCATGGCCTGGACATTCAGTGGATATTGGGATGTTCAGTAGATATCCAAAGGAATTGGTGTGTTGTCTTGGTATCTAGTACCAGATATAATTTACTTGTTCTTCCATCGCAGAGCACATACTACGTCTCGTCTGAAGTACCAACAACCTGTTGAATATTGGATTGGTTGCTGGAACCCATCTTATTTCTTAGGCAGCAGTGCTGGACTGATCTCAACACTATAAATACTACGACCTACCGATATCGCAACATAACAAGTAAAAGCTTTCCAATTTTGCCTGTTAGTGTCCTCTGTTTATACATACATGGATAAACTCTATCATTTTACCTGCAAGAGAAATTTAGTTCAACATTTATTAAAAATATTAATTATAATTACAAGCTTGAACTTTGTAGTACTACAAAGGATAATAATTACCTACGTATCAACTTGAAATGTTCCAAGAAAAATCAAGCTCGATGGTCTATTGATTTTGAAAAAAATTGATTAAAATGGAGGTTAAGGATGGGTTAAGGGGGGTTGAAATTAACAAAAAAAAAATCAAAAACGAAAAACTATGTTCAGCAAAAATAAAGCTACAAGGGGAAGAAGCCTGAATAAAAACGGGAGTAAGAGAAAATTAAAAAAAAATATAAATCAAAAACGAAATGATCAACAATTTTTTTTGTAAAAATCAAGCTCTAAAAGCGAATGAAGCCTACTGATTCTGAAAAAAATCTGAATATAAATAGAGGTTTAAAATATTTAAAAAAAAATCTAACTCAAAGGTATAAATTTGAAATGTTTAGCAAAAATCAAGCTCTATAAAGCGGATAAAGCCTATTGATGCTGAAAAAAAATTGAATCAATCTGGAAGGTTAAGGGGATCTGTGTGAAGAGTGTAATATAGAATGCCAAGCATTATATATTTTCATTTTAGTTTTGTATTCGGTATCATTGCTATTTAATGGTTACTAGGAACTTATTGTTGTACATATTTATAATTTAAATTGTCATGTAATTGGCATCCTACCATTGGATAATAATTATTATTTGATTTTCTTGATAGGTAATGATTTATGTCAACATGAAGAAAAGTTTAATTATTGCAGAATAACTGTCTAGCATCATGTGATCGAGCATGTGATGAACTGTCAACACAATTTCGAGAGCAATTGTAAACACAATATTGTAAAGATAAACATTTTGGCAACAGTATATATGGGAAGAAAAACTCTTGGTAACTCAGAGGAAACTTTTTATTATTTTGAAATAACATTTAAAAATGTCTCAGAACTCGTCTGGTAGTTGTTACTTTCTGGTGACTGAGATAAAACATATGTATCTGCATACGCAGGGCAGGTAACACAGCAGTAGTCAAAGTAGCTTAGAGTACAGTAGCTGTAAGTGACTGTAATTCGACTGTGTTTGCAAACCACGTTTTCCATATAAAATTTGCATTGTGCTTGATGAAAGTTGGTATTTTTTTAAAATTATCCTACAGTGATAATAAAAATCATTTGTCTACATCCTCCATTTGGTGATAATCTCTAGTCGCAATATTTTATTTTAAGACATTGGACATTTTCTGACTAATGCATGGGATCTTTAACTTTGCATTTATTATGTAATTCGACAATAAATGCAATCAGTTTGGGATTGTTGAGATTCCTGATCAGGTGTATCATCAGGAGCTGTATACATAATTGCAGAAGTTGGAGCTGGTTGATCCACTTTGTTCAAAAAGGACAGTGATATATTCATTTTTTTGGAATTGTCGACCTAAAATAGAACGAAATTTTTCATTACAAGTACCTAGCTAGTGGTTGCAATTTTACAGATTTTTTTCACCACTAGACTACCATTAGAACAATGTCCAGGCAACTGTGTACTGCTATAGAAGAGAATTTGAATGTTTTGATGTAGAAGCGCTCGGAGGGGGCTTAAAATGTATGCTTCTTTATACCAATGTTTAATATCATTAAAAGTATTTTCAAAATAACAAAATCGGAAAAATCTTTATTGGGAGTGAGCCCTTCTGTCGCCTGGAGTCTTTCGGTCTGCATTAACAATAATAAAATTTAATTTATTACACACAATCCAGTTTTACAATAGTATTACAAATAGTCAAAAAATAAAATGAGTTTGGTGCACCTATAATTTATTGTAATCTTACTTAATGAAGGTGTTTTTTTTACAAATGTACTCAATTAACTGTATTGCATTATTATTTTTTGTATTTTAACTATTAGTTTTATTATTTTTTTTTATTAATCTTAATTATATTGTATATTGTACCTATAACTGAAAGGGGAATTCCCCAATTAATGTATATAAATAAATTAATAAATACGAATTGCATTCTTTAAACAATAAAGCTTGATTAATTGATCATACCTGAGTACTGGGCCATCAAATGTGACTTGTGGTATCAGAAAAATTGTATAAAACTAACAATTTAAGAAAATATCAAGATCTTCTTCCTCCTCCTTATCAGCAGAGTAATTTTCTGCATCAATATTGACATTTTCTAAATTGCAAGGATTATACAATTTTCCCGCCAGTTTTAAAAACTCCTCAACTCGACAAGCATTGTTGAGTTGACATTGTTTATAAAACATATACCTAGCCAAATTCCCTGGTATGTGGGCTTTTTTTCTACCATTCGACAATGTAACAGCCTTTGCATGCCTCCATGAAGACTGAATGGCATTGGTATGGCAGCCAGTATCGGGATCTTTAAATGTGATCGAGTGATTGACAGTGAGATGGTGATATCCATGATCACCGAGGCAACTGTATGCATTCCAGCAATCAGAATAGATAGTGGTACCCTTTTCAATCCATTTTTCAATGAGAGGAATAAGGGTATCACTATCTCGTTTTTCGACGGCAACCATAAATACCCTTCCAGTTCCCCTTTCAAATCCACCAAAAACCCATTGTCCCTCGACATGATGGCCTCCATCAAATTTACCCTTCGCAAATTTGGATTCGTCTATCTCGACAATCATGCCAGGGCCGCCAAGTTTTTGAGGGTTTTGCAAGCAGGATTGTAAAACCACCTCCCTGCAAAAACTCGCCCAATCTACAACCGTTGATTTGTTAATCTCCAGTTCGATCCCGATATATGCCAAAGGCATATTTCTGACCCAGAAATTAACGAATCCCAATATTTGTAGAAACGACAACTTCGACTGGGAAAAAAATGTGCCTTTTTTAAGCATTACCTTAAAATTGCATCTTACCGCCTTTGCTTTGGGCTTCCGATGCAATTTTCTACAAAACCAATACCACTGGTCTATACTAAAAAGTAATTTTAATTAGTTATGTATTTCAATTACCAAATATTATTAGTACTTACGATGCATCATTGGAACAAAGTTTCATTGGGCTGCTACACCGTCGACACAAATAATCACCTTCTTTAGGCACCAGTCCATATTTTAATAGAAATGAGTGTAAAGTTTCTGTGTTTTGACACACATTAAAAATCTGCACAATTGAAATCATAATTCTGGAAAAATTCACAAATGATGTGCCTAATAAAATAAATTTATAAATTGGCGCCTGGCGGTAAACCGTGATACATGCACAGCAGGATACATGTCATTGTTAATGTCAAAATATTAGAGGGAGGGAAATTTAAGTTACAACTGTCAGCCGTCAGCAACAACTCGTTACCGTTCCACGTTACTAGTAAGTGATCTGTGACGTTACTTCCGTTCCGTTCTGTGTTCCTCCAGTTCTTTTAAATTTTAAATATTGTTAAAAATTAAATCCATTTATATTTATAAATAAAATGGGTAGAAAAATTCCTGGACGTAAACATAGAGGGATAAGAGATCCTGAAAAACAAGCAGCCGTTAGATTTGAAAGGTAGGGTGCCCTTATACTGAAAATGTATTATAATTAAATACTAACAATAACCTCAAACCACATTTTTTTAAGCATAAAATATAAAATTAACGCACCCCCTTCTAATGCCGATAATCAAGATCTACCAAAAAGCTTGCAGAGGATTATAGATTTGAAGAATAAAGTTAAAAGTGGTGATTTTTTTAAAAAGAAACCTAAAAATGAAAAAATTGAATATAATGATTCCAGAAAACAAGAAAGACCTGCTCGAGATTTTATACAATTTCCGGGCGAAACGGATAGAGAATTTGTTCATCGTGTGAACAAAATTTGTACCCATGTAGTAAAGGAAGCTGAATTTGAAGAAAGATATGGTGTGGAAATTAAAAGAAATGAGAATGGAGAGGTATGTTTAATATATAATATAAGGTATGAACCTGATGTATTTAAATTTGACCCACAAAGTTGCAATTATTCATAGTTATAATGAAGCATTTATTTTCTCTATGGTTTTATCCAAATTTGCATCACTACAGGCTATTAAAGTATCGTCAGCAAAAAGAAATAAATTCACAATCGACAAAAAGCTTAATATTAACACGTTCACTGCCGATCAGTTTAACCCTGAAGTCACCTAAGTACCAAAGTCCTACTTACTAGGCATTTACCAACAGGTAGTCGTGGGTGCTTTAAAACGCCAGCGGTACTCATGTGCAGGTAACGTGACGCTTTAAAGCGTCCTCTGGCAGTGAACGGGTTAATGTATAAAATAAATATAGAGGACCTAGTACACTACTACCTTGAGAAATCCCTATATCATTATTTATGTCATAGGATGTTTGGTCAGCAAAATGGACTGCTTGCTTATTTAAATAGTTCCTACCAATCTAATACTATACCCCAATGTCATATTATTTCAATTTAAATAACTTTATTTGCCTGTTAATTGTCTCAAAAGCTTTTCTTAAGTCCAAAAATAACTCTACCAACATATTTATTTTCGTCTAATTTAGTTTGAATGTTACAAAGTATAGTGCTGGTTTAGTTTTTGTTTTTTTTTTCTCTAAAACTGGTCTGGTTACACATCCGAATCTAATTTTTAGAAATAATGAATTGATTATAAACAGCAATTTCTATTATTTTTTCTATTTGAGGCGAGGTATTTATTGGTCTAAATTCACCAGCTTTATTGGTATTATTTTCTAAAAAAGGTAGGGTCATGGCACTACTTATGGCCACTTCTTGCTTTAAGACCTAAAAATAAACGTTTGGCAACATTGTAAACATAAATGGTGGTTGGAGAAGATAAATGAGCATGTGGTAACTTGATTGGGTAGGTTTGCAACTAATAAACCAAGTCCATTGGAAATCAGTAAAATAAATAGCATGTGTAATACATGCAAGCATTAATTGTTCTTTTGGCTAAGAATTTATCTGTAAATATTGAAATGAAAATCAGATTTATTAAGGAATATTTTTGAAAATTTGCAATTCCAAAGGTAAGTAGATGTACCCCATGTATTTTGTTTTCAACATCATATTAAAAAAAAATACCAGGATGACCACTTGTAATGACAAGGAATTAAAAATTCTGAGTTATGGCCACAAGAGTGGCCAAAAGTAAAATCTCATATTTTACTTATGACCACCTCAGTTATTGTGTGGGTTGTTGGAGTTACTTGGTTTTTTAGATAAGAAGATGAAATATCACTGGCATCTGACAGCAATGGCAGTTTCTCAGATATAGATCCAGCAGTGATTATGCAGTTAGGCAAAACATTAAAACAGGGCAACTTTATATTGGTACAATTTAGTGCCTGTGGCAAAAGAAGATAGACCATGTATAAATATGTTTCGACTGTACGTTAAACTATGGAGAATGAAATAAAAACACAAAGAAAAAAACTACTTTTTCGGTCCCCTTTACTTTCACTTTGCTCTTGAAGTCGGTCTCACCTTCCCAAATGTTACCTTTAATGTTCATGAAAGATAATTTTTATTTTGTTATACCCTACCTATTCTAAATCACTAGTACATACATGCAAATTAAAATATAAACATGCACTTAAATTAATATTTAAAAATGCCACTTAAAAATTGGCGGTCATAAGTAAATAACTAGTGGCGGACTGATGGCTAAAAGTAAAGAATTTCTTTCACTTTTATGAGAAAAAAAAAATGTAAAAAAGAATCACAGGCTTTTAACAAAATAGATACATATACCTACTGTTGAAAACTACAACTACAACATATCAAATAGTATTTTTATTAATTTTTTTATAACAATATTATTGAAAAACAGAATCCACAAAAGCATTTTTGCCTTAAAATGGTCATAAGTAGTGCCATGGCCCTTATAAGTGATTTGGAAATTCTGCCAGTATCAAGTGTATTTACTATATGACATGGTAATTGGTAATTCCGAGAAATTATACGTAATATCAACGCAGCCTTTTTAATTTTAGGTTTGTTTTAACTTTTTTTTGTTCAGATTGAAGGAGTAGTAAAAAGGCAAAAGGATGAACTAGAGTTATTATTAAAGAAGGCTAAAAAGAAAAGTAAAGAGGAACAAAAAGGAAAGAAGAAAAAGAAAAAAAAAGAAAAAGAGGGTGCAGTAAGATTAAGTAAATGGCAGAAAAGAAAAAAGAAGCTGAATGATAAAAAGGAAAGGAAAGAAATGGAAAATGTTGACGAATTCAAGCAGTACAAAGATGAAGTTAAATTTGGAGAAATTGCCCATGTACCACCTTCTTTAGTAGCACCAAGGAGAGTAGAAAAGCATGAAACCGTTCCTAGGGTAAATGTTATGAATCATTTAAATTATTCTCTTTTGTAACAATTGCTGAATGCATCATTTTCACTCTGCACTATGTCATCAAATTTTTATTTTATGTTGCAGCCTGGCAAGAAGAATCTACTCTTGAAGACTTTGATTGAAAGTACAAATAAAAAATCTAGTTCTACAGTAAATATGGAGCCTAAAAATAATTTGAATAAAACGAGAGATAAAGCTATAAACAAAACTGGCAAAAGGAAAGAATTACCAACTTCTTTAAGAAGACAACTAGATCAACAACAAAAAGAAATTATAAGTGCATATAAGGAATTAAAAGCTAAGAAATATAAGTAGGTAAATGTATTCAATTGTATAAGAATTAAATAAATATTTTATTTTAAAATGTTAGCAAATTGTAAATGTTTATTTTCCACCAATTTCTAGTTTTTAGAAACTACAGTAATTTTGTAAGTTTATTGTCTCCCTACGAATGCATAATTAAAATTATAAGATCAATTGATTCAAGCACTTTAGTCATATAGTGTGTACCTAAGTTAGCGGCATATAGAAAACTTTTTTATTAATTTTTGGAAAAAAAGTTACTCTTCATAAACACTTGTGCATGGCCTAAAATTCAAAACGCAATCATCTGAAATTAAATTGTGTCAGTCGTATACGAAGTTTGTCAAAAAATGTGATCTTGCTCAAGAGTAAAGTACATACTTTCATTTTTGACTGATAAAACTATAAATAAAGCCACCCAACTTTAATGTTGTGAATATTAAGAATATCCTGTAAAAGAGTTATTCCAAACCACAAAATAAAACAACATAAATTCAGATATACAGGTTAATAATGTGAAATGAGCTTATGTTGAGTTAATCCCATTATAAATGAATGAGACTATTATAACTAGTATAAACTTAAAAAGTCATAATTGGACAGCCTTATGCAAAAGGTACAAACCCTCAATAATGACAAACAGATAATTAGCTCTAAAGTTTTTATTAATTCAAAAAAATGTAATAATAATATTTAGACCTATTTAGCCTTGTCAATACATAAAATTTTAAAAAGTAAAGATATGTTACAATTAAGCTAAAGACAAAATTAATTTTAAAAATAGTATACAATAGGATCAAATATCAAATTATAAAAAAATCCTTTATTATCCAAACATACATGTGGTCCAATTACAGGATAAAATTTAATTTAGCAACAAGTGTTTTATAGTAATAATTTAATTTATACAGATAATGTAGAGAGGTATTTGAAGAATTGAGACAGCTTAAAGGCTGTCTGGCCAGAACTAGCACATACAATTTTTGTTTAAGAATCTCAACAGTCAATGTCATGGATGGTCTACATGAAAGGACACTTGTCTAGCAAACAAGGATGTCCCGGTTCGATCCCAGTTGCTCCAAGTATTTGTTTTCACCTTCAGGGTTTGAGGATGGTCTTAATAATTATTCGAAGGGAGATTTTTGTGATTTGTTTCCAAATTATTCTATAATTTAATACTTAATTAAACACATTATTTTATAAACACGTTTGTTCTTGGAAATGGTTAATAAAAACATAAGTCATTTCTTGAATTATTAAACCTTGGTATATTGAAGTTAAGTTGCGATAGAAGTTGTGGAGAGTCAATAAGGCCATGCACCAACTTATAACAAAATATACAGGAATAATACACATTATTCCTCAGCAGATCACGATCACCTCTAAAAACGTAATAGTTGTTTCCAAACAGCTCCGAATTTGATACATCTGATTACAGCCAAGTTTTGGGCGATATTTTGTAATTTTGGCTTATCAAATACATGTATACATTTTAGTTTTTTTTTTTTTTTTTTTCGTCAAAAAAGTAAGAAAAAATACAATAAGCAACCGGAGAGTTGCTGTGTTGTAAATTGTAAAAATACTACAAAAAAAAAATGTAAATTATAAAAACATTCAGTAGCAAAGTGGAAATTAAGTCAAAGAAATAAATGGATAGCTGTATAATAAGAAAAATTACCTTTATTTTTGTAATAATAATAGTAATACTGAAAATAGTCATCAGAAACTTGAAAGGTTTTAAATAAACAATAAATATCATTTTACGATGATCTTTAACATCCCTTTAGTCTTAAATGTTTAGCAAGAACTAGATTTAGTGGAAAACTGTCTTTAACGGACCGTTGAGTTTATGTTTTGTTTGCGTTTTCTGGAACTTGAAAAACAAAACTGAGACAAACCCAAAACTCTTGTTTCCATCAAGCGGACTACATTTTGTTACATTTTTGTTTTCGGTCCTTTTCCACTGGTTGTTTATATTTATATACGTATTTATTTTTTAAGATAGTTCCAAATTGAAAATACATATAAAAGTAGTTTAAAAGATGTATGTGACATCATATAAACCTAAAATAGACAATATTTAACACAACCGTTTCCAGTAAACAGACGCGAGTTTCAAAACACGTCAAAACCTTTTGATGTTACCGCTTCCGAGCGGGACTCGAGAAACAAAACTCCAACTGTCGCAAAACACGCCAGTCTTCAAAAAGTTTGAGAAAAGTTGCAGTTTTGCTTTTCGGGACACGAGTTTGTGTTTTGTTTTTGTTCTGCCCGTTTAGTGGAAAACCGCCATCAGTATTGTTTTTATAGTTCCAGAAAACACAAACTCAACTGTCCGTTTAGTGGAAAACCGTCTTAAAAGTTTTGGTCACGGATCAGGGACATCAAGATAAAAAACGCAACGACCGCAGCAACGGTGGCGTCATCTATGCGTCTCATGTTAACTAAAGGTGCACGTCGTTTGTAGACAGACAGTAGACGTCGACATCAGTAGACAGGCATTCCAAACAAATAAATTGGCAGTGGGAAGGTTTGGTATATCTAAAGGTTGCGACATACGATGTATTCTTCTACTATACGTAAAATCATAAATAATAGATAACATTCAAAAAATGTATGTCAATACAAATATTTAAGAAACCCACTTATACATTTCTTCATAAATTGACAGGCTTGGCGAGTACTATTTTAAATAAAAATAGACTACATTTTATAGAAGTATTGGCACGATCTTTTCACTGTATTTGTTTTTTACTTGAATTAAAATGAAATAAAAACTAATTTACGCAGTTTATTTCAATCACTATAATATTTGGATAACGTAGTTGTCACTCTTTCCATTTGTATGAATTTTAACTGCATCTTTGCCGATTTTTCCACTGATTTTTAATTGGAGCAACTGAATTAAACACTGCACCATTTTGGTATTGTATGCTACAATACTTAGTTATCAAAGAATAATCACAAAAATATTTTGAGACAAAAACCTTCATGTCTACATATTAGATTTGATCAATTGGGTCCTATGATTGAACGTTTACGTTATCCGTAACGTACATGTTACGCCGAGTTTTAACAGTAATGAGGCAAGTTCGTATGATGGAAAACTTTTTCCAACACGTTACTGTTATTTTCCGCCTGTTATCTTCTAATTTAACAGTGTTCCATCATCCGAACTTGCCTCGTTACTTTTAAAATTCGGCATAACATGTACGTTACGGATAACGTAAACGTTCAATCATAGCACCCATTATCAAGTCAAATAATTATTTAGTTACCAAGTGATTACCGATATAACATAATGCATGATAATCAGCCAACAACCACATTAGACACTCAAGGCGACTCAAATCGTTCTGCCTGGAAGAGCGCTGACTACAATTCGCATCAGTTCCCCGCTCTTGACTGCCGATGTGCTTTACCGTACTACAATTAACAAAAATTTGTTTACTTGCTAACACGGTCATACTGATCTATATTTCGCCCTCGAAATATTCTTCTTTTTTATGTAAAGATTGGTTATTAATTTGTATCATTTTAATTTATAAAAATATTAAACAAAAAGACGTATCAAATAAAAATAACAAAATTACAAGATCAGCCGCCAAATTCCACGCCAATTATTTCGAAAAAGTTTTCTGCTCATCCTCTCGTTACATTCTGAGACGAGGCAAAACCTTGCAATTTAAAATAAGTGACACAACATCCCATGTCTTATAATTTCTAAAACTTCATTCAAAATTTTAAAATAATTTAAAACATATTCTGTTCTTCGGATATCAACAATATTCGTCCGACATTTTTCAATTAATATGTTTAAAATAATTTTAAAATCAAAGCTGTGTTCCTCGGATTTCAACAATATCAGTCCAGCATTTTCAATTTATATATATTTTTTAAATCATTCAAAATAAAAAACAATGCTCCTCGGATTTCAACAATATCCGCCAGGCATTTTTCAATTTATATATTTTTTTAATCAATTAAAATAAAAGCTATGCTCCTCGGATTTCAACAATATCCGTCCAGCATTTTTCACTCTACTAGTCCCGAAATGCTTACCACCTGCCATAGCGTGGTTAAAAAGCAAGTCATCTAGTAAGTCTCGGGCAGTTAATATAAAAGATATAAAAACAGAGAATTACTTGCTAACACCGCCCATCTCGGACAGTAGAACTTACCGATTTTTCTGTGATTGTGAATCCTCGAATTCCTCATACCATTTACCAGACCACATTTATAAAATATAAAGCTTGCACGATGCTAACAATTATACTATATTTAATATTTCAAAAGATTTTACTAAATTTTTGCTAAGCAGACAAAATAAAAGCAATACGTTCAGAGGTACTCCTCAAATATTTGGCTGACCTACTTAATTTCTTTAATCACAGAAAAGCTTTAAAGTTCAGAGGTACTCCTCAAATATTTAACTGACCTCTACTTAACTTTTTTTTTGTACTCACAAAAGCAAAAGCTTTAAATGGAAGTTCAGAGGTACTCCTCATATTTAATTGACCTGTACTTCACTTTGTTACTAAATAAAAACAGTAGAGGTCCTCCTCAGGGATTAACCTGACCTGTACTTGACTTTCTGGTAACAAGAAAACAACATTAAGTTCAGAGGTACTCCTCAGAGATTAACCTGACCTGTACTTAACTTTCCGAATGGTAGAATTAACAGTTAATCGTAATTTGAAAAGAGCGCTGGTCCATTCTGACAAATTTCGAACTTCAACCATTAATAAATTATTTTTACAAATAACTTTTAACTTGCCCAGCAGCGCCCCTGCTATAATTTAATGACGCTTAATATTTATATTTACGAATAAGGATTATATTTCGTAAAAGCATTAACGATAAATAAAACCAACTGTGGTTATTTGTTATTTTAAACTACGGCTCAACACAATCAATAGGAATTGTATGAAAAGGAATATTTATTTTCTTTCCTCGTTGCCGACAAACGGTACGTGTGATAATTAATGACTTGGTCACTAGATAGCTTTATTT